CGGCTGATCCGTGCAGCGCCCCCGGGCAGGCAGCAGAGGTCCAGGCTCTCATCTCCCAGCCCTGCAAGGCAGGATCATGAGAATCACGGGAACACCAGGCTGCACGGCACAGGCACCCCAGGCAGGAAATTTGGGACAGCTCTGCCGGCTCAGACAGGCAGCAAAGAGCTGCTCATCTTTCCCAGCCCATTGCGGCAGGAAGCTGCTCCCCCAAAAAAGCCAGGGACAGGCAGGCCGGAGCGCGGGGTGAGTCACCCAGGACCGCCGGCACTGGCAGTGCAGCACCCGTGGTGGGGAGATGCCACTGATAAAAACTCGTGGTATCTCCCCCCCACCGCCCCAAGACTGCGGTTTCACAACGTTTCCTCTGATCTGAGCACGGGTTGCCACCAGATGAGCCGCCCCACTCCCATGCAAAGCCTCTTGCCACAGCGTGACTGAATGAGCCCAGAGCGGTACCGGCACAGCCGGTTCCATCGGGTTTGCCGGCCCCGCTCGGTCGCACCGTGGTCAGCCAAGGGAGATGTCGGGATAGCCCCCACCTTCTAGGAATACCTCATGCTCCAGCCAGGGAAATGCAGCGTCTCTCCATGCTGCTGAAGCAGGGGGGGCTGGGCAGGGGGCTCTGCTCCTGGTGCTCAGCTCCCACTGGGGCAGCTGCAGCCCCTGTGCAGGGCGTGATTCAGGATTTCCCCTCCGGTGCACCCAGCCGGAGCCGGTCTGCAGGGGGAGGGGGGCAGCCCCACCCCGGCCACTAAATCTAGGGTGCAGAACTAGCTGACACTGCGGGGGGTGTAGGGGTGGGATGTGTGGGAAGCTGCTCCCCCCTGCACCCGACTCACCACGCAGAACAGCCTTATCAGGCTACCCTTCGGTTACTCGAAGCGGTTGGCCGAGATAAATTTGGGATCAAGATAAGAGCACCCACACTACAACTGTCTTCTCTCCATGCGGGTCCACGCTGGGCAAGCAGCACCCGGGTGTCACCACGCTGTTACCGGGAGGAAGCACCGAAGGTCTTTATCTCTGGCTGTCACTGGACGTTTCTTCACACCAACTGCTCCATTCCCCATGGCCAGCTCAGCCAGGATGGGACAGGCTCCTGTGCTCCGGGCAGTACCAAGGACCCTTCTCCAGGTCACGCTGTCACCTCAGAGACAGCGTGTTGGGGACCCCAACAAAGGAGTCCCCACCTCACTGCATTTTTTGACCCCAGGGCACAATGAGTGATGAATGATAACTCATTCCAAGCTTGTGCCTCCTCCGCATCCCCACAGGGCCCTTACTCACCAAGTGCCGGCTGCCTTCCCCCACTGCGGCACACAGGGTGCCCAACCCTGGCACGGTCCAGGGCCCCGTGCCCTCATGGCCCCCCATGGGGACAACCAAGAGGTGCCTGGCCACGGGCACGTCCCTGGTAAACCCCCGGGCTCCTGGGAAAGCCCAGACTTTACTGACAGTCTTGGTTTTGCTGTAGCACCAACTGGCTAAGCACACAGCTCTCACCCTAACTCGATGCCATCCCCACGCAGGGGTACCCTGCAGCCCCCCACTGCCATGCAGATATGGTGCCGCACCTGCTGCTGTGGCACAGGCCGCCACATGGGGACAACACCCAGGCAGGATGGGGACAGCACAGTGCCCCTTCCCCATCCTGATTCAGCCATCCATGCCTGGGGGATCCTGGAGCACCCCGCTATCCCCTACGCATGGTGCACACCAGTCCTCACTTCACTGCCATAGGGGGATGCTGCCCTCCATGTGAGGCAACCCAGAAAGGCACCTCCTGGTCTCCCCCCTCTACACAGGGCACCCCGGGCCCATCTCCCCTCACCCAGGGCACTGCCACCTCAGCCCTGACACTGCTGTCCATACAGGGCACCCAGGAAAGCCACCCCAGGGCAGCCCCTTTTCCACAGAGGGATTGCTCCCTTCCACCCCAGGGCACCCAATTCTGCTCACCCCTGGGGCTGCCCCTCTCCATCTGGGCAGGGGGTGTCTCTGTCCCCACCTTACTGCTACGGGGGGCTGTTCCCCCGTCCAGGCAGGGGGCTCCAGGAAGGCTTCTGTAGGGCTGACCCCCACCCCAGAAAGGCTCCCTCAGGGCCATCCATCTTCGGGGAGGCTTCCCTCCACACAGGGCACTCTCATTCCCCCTGCATCCAGGGCATCCCCAAGGCTGACCTCCACCCCAGAAAGGCGTCCCTGGGTCTTACCCCCTTGCTCAGGGCATCCCAGAAAGGCACCCTTGTCCAATTTCACCCCCAGGGCACCCCAGAAAGGTACCCTGCATCTGATCCTGTAGCCCAGAAAGGCTTCCTCAGGGCCACCCATCTCCACCCAGGGCATCCCACAAAGACACGTCGTTCCCCTCCAATCCAGGGCATCCCCAGGGCTGAATCTCCCCTGCTCAAACAACCCCAGAAAGGCACCCCTCTCCAAACAAGGCATCTCAGAAAAGCACCCTTGTCCCACTTCCCTCCCAGGGCACCCCAGAAAGGCTCCCTCAGGGCCACCCATCTCCACCCAGGGCATCCCGGAAAGGCACCTTCGGTCTCCCCAGCTCCAGGCACCCCAGAAAGGCTTTCCCGGGGCTATGCCTCTCCACCCATGGCATCCCAGAAAGGCACCCCCAGGGCATCCCAGAAAGGCACCCTGGTTCCCCTGCCATCCAGGGCATCCCCGGGGCTGAACCCCACCCCAGACAGGGGCTGACCCTCTCCAACTCAGAGCACCCCAGGAAGGCACCCTTAGTCCGGCTTTCCCCCCAGGGCATCGCAGAAAGGCTGTCCCGGGGCCATCCCCCTCCACCTAAGGCATCCCAGGAAGGCTCCCCCAGCTCCG